ACTTCTAGGAATATATCCCAAGAAACTAGAAACACCAATCAGAAAGGATATATGCACCCCTATGTGCATAGCAGCACAATTTACAATAGCTAAGATTTGGAAACAGGTCTGGTTTTTTAAGTGCTGGATGTTAAACATTTACCTGCATAACACTGGGCATAAGTAAATGATTACTTAAATGTAGGGCAAGTGCCGAGTAGAGGGCAATCAGACAGAGGTGAGTTTAATCAAGAGAATTTTCCTAAAATTTATGAGGCATAAACTAAATTTTGAAATAGCCAAGGGTTATAAATTGTCAGAGATGACAGGAAAGGGCTTATGATGGACAACTCTGAAGTGTTCTGGCCCACCTCTTCTAAGAAGCCTACCCTGACCCTTCATCCCTCACTAATTTCCCTCTTCTCTAACCTCCTTCAGAACCTATAGTACTCAATCATGTGATACAGATGACATATGTTATCTTTATATTTATTAGCTGTTTTATGTTTACTAGTCTTGTCAATCTAGAAAGACTGTAAGCCTTTGAAGGAAAGGACTACATATTAGACCAGGGTTGTCAAAGTGTGGTCTGAAAACTCCTGGGGGTCTCTGAGACCCTTTCAGGGAGTCTGATCAAAACTATTTTCATAATAACATTAAGATGCTATTTGCCATGATAGTACAAAAGCAACAGTGGACAAAACTGGTGACAGCTTGGCTTGAACAAAAGCAGTGGTACCAATCTGTAGTAGCGGTCACTGAATACATCGCCACCGCACACTCACAGATTTAAAAAGCGAATCTCACTTAAGATTAGCTGTGAGAAAGCAGTAAAAAGTGTTCGTTTCATGAAATCTGCACCCTTGAGTTCAGCGCTTTTTGGTATGTGTGACGGAGTGGGAAGAGCACAGCGCGTGTGCAGCGTGCAGGGCTGTGGTATTGTCTCCAGGAAAGGCGCTTGGCCCTGGGAGGGTGGACAGCAGGCCTCTGTGCATGGAACTTCATTTCTACTTGAAAGAATGACTGACAGACCGACTATGGTTATTCAGACTTGGGTACGTGGCAGACATTTCTCAGAAATGAACGGAGTGAGCCTGTCGCTTCAAGGAAAACAGCTGACAGTGTTTGTCACCAGAGAAAAACTTGAATTTTCAAGAGACAGTCAGAATTTTGGAAAATGTATATCTGCTACTGTGAGCTTGACAGTTTTTCATAACTTTTCTAATGAGACCAGTAGGGATATTAACAAATATGGCACTAACCAGTTTGGCTCAGTGGATGGAGTGTCGGCCAGCGGATTGAAGGGTCTCAGGTTCGATTTGGGTCAAGGGCATGTACCTTGGTTGCGGACACATCCCCAGTAGGGGGTGTGCAAGAGACACTGATCGATGTTTCTCTCTCATCGATGTTTCTAGCTCTCTATCCCTTTCCCTTCCTCTCTGTAAAAAAAAAAAAATCAATAAAATATAAAAAAACAAATATGATTTTTCTATACTGTATAAAGAAATGTGTTAATATTTGGAGGCTCTACATGTCTCAGCATTGTCCAAATGGCATGTTACAGAATCATGTATGGGTAAAAGACCTATTTAGATTTCAAGTTAGACCAATGGATATTAATGTAAGAGAGTATGAAATGTTTATTAATAATGGTTTCAGATTCCACTTTGTTTTGTTTTGTTTTATTTTCTTCAGATTCCACTTTTCAACTAACTTTAAAGGAGCTACCACTTGTAGGCTTTTGGTGTATTCTCGAAGAAGAATAGCCACAATTATCTGAAAAGGCTATTAAAATGCTCCTCCTTTATCCACCTACATATCCATGTGAGGCCAGATTGTCTTCATTTACGTCAACAAAGACTGAATGCAGAGGGAGATGTGTGAATCTGGCTTCTACTAAGCCAGATATTATAGAGCTTTGTAAAAGTGAAAAATAATCCCAGTCTTCTCACTAAATTATTTTTTGTTTTTTTTAATGTTTTTCTTCCATAAAATGTTAGTGAATTTTTATTTTTAAATGAATTAATAAATATTTAATATTTCTCAGTTTTACTTTCTAATGCTGTAGGTATAGCGTGTATATGAATGGAATTTCTTAGGTCCTCAATGCCTTTTTCTTTTTTAAATGTTCCCAATAGGCTGAATGCTACCAACATAGCAGAAAGAAAACCTATTGGGAAAATGTTTTGTGGTCATGTCCCTCGATGCTTTTTAAGAGTGTAAAGAAGTCCTGA